TTCTAGTTTTTTGGTTAATTCTTCGATTTCAAATTCATTAGCTACTATCATTAAATCAAAAATAAACTTCGTTTCTACATTCTCAAAATCAACAATTCCACTATAAATATATCTTTTATTGAAATAAATAAATATTGGTTATTACTTTTCTTTAATAGAAATGATATTCTTGATAACAATAATAAGTTACACAAATTAATAACTCACTTAAGAATAATATCAAAAATTTCATATGAAATATTTGGCTTGACAATTGTCTTGACATTGTTTTTGTTCGGAATAATATTTTTCAATTCTTTACAAAAGTAAGGTGAGCGAAACTTTAATGCATTTGAATGGGCTGTAAAAGATTTATTATTCTTAACTTCAATAATTACATTATAATCTTCAAGTTCAAAAAAATTTTGGGATGATTTATCATAAAATTTAAAAGACATTTTTTTATATGTAAAATGATGTGTAGTGCAGTAGTACTCGATTTTATTTAAAAATCAGAGATCACGAGGTAAATATGCACGACGCTTTGTGCACTCCTAATGATTATACCATGTGAGTCATTGTTTGTTTGTTTATTTTATCATTACACCAATTATAAGGTGAATAAAGCTTTATATACTCAATAAATATAACGAATAAAATATGTATTATAAAAAATTATCATTAATTATATTCTAAGTGTTGAATTTCTACTAATTTCTTAATAATTCTTAAATACTTCGCAATTAACAATTGAGTAATTATCTGTTGTGGTTCTTATAGGTTTTTCATGATTATAACAAATGCAGACATTACCTAAAGTAAATTAAAAATATGACTAAGCAAATGAAGAACCCAAAAGATGTGTCATAAGTTACTTGATCATACTTCGAATAAACAAAGTTTTAAGAATTGAATTTGTATGTAGCAATGAGAAAATAATAAATGAAACCTAAAGTGCACTAAAGATATATGAATACATATAAAGGATATTACACTACATAAAGCCTTATTATTTATTTACTCATTATCGTACTTACTGCGGCTATCTCGACATATTATTTATATATTTTTATTATTATTTGATTTTTAATTTTATCATTATACAAATTTTTTTTATTATTATATTATTTAATTTGATTATTATATATTTGCCATTATTTTTTATTGTTCTCTGACTTAGATAAATGCAAGTAAAAATCTACAAATTTTAATTCTAATTTATAAAAGTAAAATTACTGAATTTTATATTTTTTTTTTTACATGATCCAATGGCATACAAATAAAATGAATTTAGAAGTTGATGTTCTCATTTAAATTATAATTCTTGCAAAACATTCATTTATTCATTCTTTCTTATCATTTTTATTTTCTATTAAATGTTTTCTCTCAATAACCTTTTTCATAATTTTATTCTTATTGCATTCATTTATTTAATTTAGTATAATTAATACATGAAATTAAATAAAGTTAATGACCGAACAGGTATTAACTGGCTGGATCTTTCAAGGGTAAGCAACAACAAATTTGACCAAGTGTTCATACTTTCATTTCATTTTAGAACTTGAAAAAATACAAGAAAAAAACAAGCAATAAACCAACTAGTAAATCAAGTATCAAATCGTGGCTGTTGTAATTGTTTGCAGCCAGTTGCTTAAGTTGTAATTAATTACAACACTTTTCAATTTCCTTATGAATTGCAACAGGTATAATTAAACTGGATAAAAACAAGTTTTAATAATAATAAAAAAGAGAAATACATATTAATATGTAATAAAAAGAAAAGTACGTAAATTGATTTATTTCTTAACGAAAAACATATGATTTAGAATTTTAATCATAACTAACCTTATCAGTTATCCTAATTTTTAAAAAATTATATATTGTTTGTCGGATAATTAAATTCATTTATGTTCATTTTGGGATTACATAAAAAGCCTTACAAAGTTAGCAACGTGCAACCATAATAATGACTAATGATTAATTTTTCGTTGTTCTTATCTATAATTTTTTTTACCTAATAAAAAATGACTTTTCAATTTTTTTTGATAAATTATCACGGAATTTTATTGAACTTCTTAATGATAAAGATGATTTCAATGTAATAATTAAAGTCAAAAATGAAAAATCCTTTAAAGCACTCTCTAATGTGCTGAAGTGTCGTTCCTTTTACTTTTGTAAAGAATTAAAAAATATTATTCCAATTTCAAGAAAATTATTAAGTAAATGATATTATAGATAACGATAATAAGTAACAAATTTATATTTATTTATTTCAATAAAGATATATCTATGGCGAGTTGCTGATTTAGAGAATGTTGAAACAAGACTTATTTTTGATTAGAAGATTTTAGCCAATGGATTTGAAATTGAAGAGTTGACCAAGAATTGGAAAATCACTTATGGAAACTAAAAGTTCTCATTTTTCGTTTGTTTATCGCTCAATTTTTAATGGAAATAACCACAAAACTTTCGAAAATTTTGCAGTGATATTATTGAAAATATATATCACTCATTTTTAATGCTGAAAATTTCACTTCTCTTCATAATCTGCGTCGGTATCTCATAATAAACGAGATGACTTATTAGAAGAGGTAAAATTTGGTAATATATTATAAAGTGGGGAATTCCTCAGAAATCCACTTTACCTGTGGACCTTAAAGAATCGACCAATGAAAACTTTACAACTTTAAAAATTACTCTTCAGAAAAGTCTACCTCTAATTCGATATTTAATATTTCTGGTACTGATGTTTCGAAAAAATAAAGCCTACAATAAATTCTTGATGATCATCGACTTTGGGAAGATTTGACTCTGTATTTCATGGCTCCTGACCAACCAGTGGAATCAATAATTTTACAACCAAGAACAATTTTAGTTCAAGAATTATCTACCCGTACAACACTTTCGGCCATTATTAATTATGAACATGTAGCCGAAATTTCCTCTTGGATTGATCGCAAATCTAGCCTTTATTCTTTAACGAATTCTCCATATGAGTTTCAATTAATTTTAAGAGGAAGTGTAAATGGGTTTGTACCTCAAAAGTTTTGGGATATCTGTCGTGGTCATGCTAGTACTGTAGTGATCATGAAAGATAAAAAAACAGAAGAAATCCTAGGAGGATATAATTCTTTAGCTTGGGATGCTAATGCTGTTGATGCTGGTGATGGTAGTAGTCGGGAAAAAACTGATTTTAGCTTTATTTTCTCATTGAAAAATGGCAATATACAAAATTCAACCTTAGTAGAGTAAAAGACCGTCATTATGCAATTTGGAATGCAAACAAACTTTATCAAAAGACGCAGGGTCCATATTTTGGAATTGATTTTTATATTCTCTATTTTTACGTTAGATGAGTACAGAGTGTTTTATAAAAATCTTGGTGATTGTGAAAAACCAATTAGAGCAGCAACAGATAATTTCTCAATTGTTGATTATGAATTATTTAATGTTATTAAGAAAACTAGTTAGAAATTTCTATCCTCAGATAATAATTAATGAAATTTATATTTGAATATTAATAAAACAAAAACAATAATACTAGAAATTTGTTTAATAATACCAAACAAGTGTAAAAAAATATGAATGTAAAAAATAGACATAGCCTATTTAAGTTTTTTTTAAACAAGCTTTATATCTTCCTTTTTTGAAATTTTATGAAATCATATACTATTATTAGCAATTATTTGATATTATTAGCCTAAATTTAATTGATCTGAAATTTTTATAATTAATCAAATTATAAGTTATGCGTTATGAGTGAATTACTGATTAAAAATAATTTTTTGTTTTCTAATTAGCAAGATAAAGACACTATGATTTAATTTATTACAATTAAGTTGTACAGTTAAAATATTTTATTGTGCCATAAATATGGATTACTCTGGATAAATTATTTACAAATGTGTAATGATTGTCTATTCACATGATAATTATAATACAAATTAAGTGGCTTGGCTAAATAAAATATTTGCAAAATGTTGTTACACAATCGGTAGTTTGAAACTATTTATTACAAAACAAAGATAAAAAGGGACCACTTTACAAAGTCAGCAACGTGCCGTGCGACATCACCATAATAAGTATCGATTATTTTTCGTCGCTTTTATATATTTTTACACAATAAATAATGACCTTGAAATTTTTTGATAAATTATCACGGAATTTTATTGAACTTCTTAGTGACAAAGATGATTTCAATGTAATTATTATGGTTAAAAACGAGAAATCCTTTACAGCACACTCTAATATGTTAAAGTGTCGCTCACCCTACTTTCGTAAAGAATTGAATGACATTATTCCAAATGAAAATAACATTAGAACAATTACTATGCCAAATATTTCAGATGAAATTTTTGATATTATTCTCAAGTAAGTAATAACTGTTTTTTTAATAAAAATAATATAATTAATAACGATAATAAGTTACAAAAATTAACACTTTTCTTATTTCATAAGATATATTTATGGTGGAATTGTTGATTTAGAGAACGTGGAGACAAAGTTTATTTTTGATTTAATGGTGACAGCTAATGAATTTAAGATCGAAGAATTAACGTAAAACTAGAAAATTATCAATTGAAATTAAAAGCTCTTGGCTTAAATGTCATTTTTCTCTAGTTTATCATATAATTTTTGGTGGAAATAACTTCAGTGATTTAGAAAATTTCTGCAATAACATTGTTGCAAAATATCCATCTCTTATTTTTGATGCTGAAGATTTCACTTCTCTTCAAGAATCCGCATTGATATCTCTCCTCAAAAGAGATGATTTACAATTAGTAGAAGTGATAATTTGGGATTATATTATAAAGTGGGGAACTTCTCAGAATTCTACTTTGCCTGTGAACCTTGAAGAATGGAATAAAGAAACTTTACAACTTTAAAAATTACTCTTCAACAATGCCTACCTCTAATTCGATATTTCAATATTCCTGGTACTGATGTTTCGAAAAAAATAAAGCCTTATAAGAAAATTCTTGATGAACAACTTTGGGAAGATTTGACTAAGTATTTAACGGATGCACATAGTTATGAAGTTCCAATTGTTTAGTTTGTACACTATATTTAAAAACCAATATGCCTTGTCCATAAGGATACATATATTTATAAGATTTCCAATCAAATAGTGTAGTCTTTCTATATTATTTAATGAAGTGTTCATATTGGAAAATTTTTCTGTCCAAAATTTTTAATGAAAAAATAAAATTTAACAAATTTTTAATCATTAAATTAATGAAAAAAAATAATTAAATAAATTTTTATTAATTTAATAAAAAAATAATTAAATAATTTTTAATAATAAAATTAATAAAATAAATTACCAGAAGTTACAGTGTCAGCAGTAAAAGAGTTATCTTCTTCAATAACATTTTTATTAATAATTGAAAATCTTTTAATTCCATTAGGTTTTTTCTGGTGGTTTGTGGTGGATGATTATGTAAACCTCTACATATTATCAAAATGCAAGGGCATTGTTTTAAATCATATTGAGTTAAAAGAGTGAATAATACTTCACATTTTTTCTTTAATATTTCCACTAATAATATTATTATCAGAACTGATATGACTTTTTCTATAAAAATTTTGAATAGCATGATTAATTTAAAATCATATTTAAAAAATAATATTTTTTAATATAATTTTTATATCAATTATCACATGATTTTTCTTAGAACTATGTGAAAAAATAGTTGTACAATGTTTCAATATCATCCTGCAATTTATTATTTTTTAATTTGAATTTATTAAGTGCTGATCTGGATAAGATCAGTAGAAATTTATTATGCTATATCAGGGTTATTATGGGTAATATTTTATAAGTAAATTTTTGTGATAGGCAAAAAACCTCTCAAAAAGCTTAATAAAATTTCAATAAATATTTGTGCAACCTACATGCTATTTGTATTAATAAGCGAGCTTTGAGATTTTGTTAAAAAAATGTATTTATTTATATATTTTTAACTTTAGTTGAAGCAACGAATGATTTTGCCCTTCCCGTTACTATGCATTTATTAAATTGTAATTTCAATATGTTCACAAAAATGAGTATTACAATAAAATTTATAAGAATTAATATCTAGGAACTAATGGACATATTTAAATCTTCTGTTTCTTCTAATGAGTGAACTGCCATTGCAGTTTTCCATTTTCTTGAGAATCCAGAAATCAAATTTGAATTGGTAGTTACTTTTGGTATCTCTTCTTCAGCAATTTCTCTATTGTTTGCTCTTTCTAACAATTCTTCATACATTTGTTCAGCAGATAATTTTTGATGAGGATTTGGGCAAGTTTAAATAAATAGAGAAATATAATTATTAAATATATTTAATTTTATCCTTACGACTTTTTTTTATTCTTAAAGTTTCACGTATCGTTTAGAACGATTCTAAATTCTTTATTTCTTTATATATTTTTACATCTTTTATTGTGGAAAAATTTGCGGTAAAAAATTGTATTTTGATTAAGGTATTCTTATGACCGAACGAAAGCACTGATTCTGGCTACAAGATGACATGTGTTTTATCTTTTTCGCCCCATATCTGCCGGTATATTACGGTTTATAGTCAGCCGTATTTATTCCGTAACGTTACGTAGGTACCGTAATAATTATGTAAATATACGCCTAAAAAAGTTTCATGCTGCTTTGACGCACACTCACTGGTAAAAAGTATAGAGACACCTGACAATTTTTAAAAATAAATCATTTTAGTTATTCTATATAAAACTT